CTCTTTCGAGACGGTTTAATAAAACTTCAGTGCCGGGCTACCAAGGTTCTGTTCTCGAGCATAGATGAGGACAAGGATCAACGCTGGATGGGCAGGTTCGTTCGAGTAAAGATTTCGGACCTAATATCGGCCGAGAAGATGCCATTTCCCAAGGAGTGGAACATTAAGCGTAAGTGTAACTCTGATGTTATCTCCTATCGGTTTGCCCCTTCTTTTGTTTCTCACTGATATCCCTTTTTGTGATGTAGCGGTTCCTTGGATGCCCAGTGTATTTCCTGACCTCAAGAACTGGGTACGGGACCTGTCTTCGACCTCTACATACGCTGAGCTCTTATGGTGTGATTTTTCAAAGGGCCGATGGGAGGCAAAGAATCATGGTAAGCCTCTTTCTCGTATCTTTGATAGTTCGAACGAAATGTTTTCCATATACTTAATTAATTTTCTTGTGTGTAGGCCTGGGCAAAGATGCGGTTTTGAGGACCCCGTCTGGTGAGGAAGAGGAAGAGGCATTTGTTCAAAAATCAGCGAAAGATAATAAGAGAAAAAAGGCCTCTACTTCCAAAGATCCAAAACCGATGACGAGGATAGCTCGTAAGCCGAGGAAGAATACTATCCCTTTGACCGAAGAATTAGTTCAGCGTCTAAGGGATGAAGACGAGGAAGATGAAGACGAGGAAGAAGAAGACGACGGGTCCGTACTGGTGGCCCGAGTGAAGAAAACCATTGATGCCTCAAAGACAGCTGGATCGATGGTGGTTTGTGTGTCTCCGCCTCGAACTGAGATGGTATCGGAGAAGGATTCGGGCAAAGTCCCCGAGTTAATGAAGGTCTAGGATGCCTCCCACCGAAGTCAACAACCAGTGGGTATATCCGAAATGGCCGATCCTGAAGCTTTCCGAACCAAGGAGAATGCCCCAAGCGACTCTCTTGGGGAAATAGTAATCGGAGACTCGCCTATTCTCCCCGCCTTTTTCGAAGGGGCGATTCGAGAGGCCCAAGATTTGGGGGCACTCGAGGTAGACGGGCCTCATGAGGAAGATGACCCTTTTCGTGATTTGTTTTCCGGTATCGACGATGCTGTCGGCCCTAGTGATGCATTGGGTCTTTTCCACGAAGTTCAGCAGGATCTGAATCGGGTATGCCTTAACTCACTTCTTTGGTACCACCTTCATGTTTGTTTTTATTTTTTAACTTCTTTTCTTTTTTCTTCGCAGGCCGCAACGATTTTGAGTCATTGTTTTTCATGACTGGGTATATTTGAATTATTGCGTATGGGTGCACGGGTGGCGCAGGCTATGGCTTTGAGTTATATTGGTGCGGCATGTCTGTGGAACGGTTGTGTTTAGTAATATAAGGTCATTGGACCTGGAATGGGTACTATCAGGTTTAATTTTAGTATATTCGGGAGTATAATATTGAAAATCGGCTCAAAAAGCGATTACGATTCTGGTTGGGGCGAGAGAGCTCCGTGACTTGTTGATCTGGTGAGTGGTCATGAAATTTTGCGTGTTTCTTTTATTATCAACAGTGTACGAAGGTTTTGGGATGAGGTTTGGTTCGATATGGGTTTAATACTAGTATGTGGTTGGTTTTGGAGTAGTCACTGCGATCAGGAATGGTGCTACGAGCATGCGAGTTGTGTCTTGAAAGACATTCTAAAGGTTGGAAATTAAACTCCAAGGTTTTTAAATCCGACTCCGATCGATGTTCAAAACACAAAAATTTACTTTATGAAATTTTAGACAAAATCCCCCAAAGTTTACTTTTAAATCATCAATCAAATGTCAAAAACAAAGATGGATTCATGAAATATATCCAAAACCAAGTATAGAACACTTATCCCAATCTATATGTTGAAATTGCCCAAATTCGAGCTCCCCAACTCAAAATATGATCAAATGAACAAACCATCGATATTATATGCTTCTGCCTAGTTGTTCTGGCTCATTTCTTGTACCAAAACAATCTCGAAACTCACTTTTTATTCTTCCAATAGATTCCTCGTAAATTTTCAGTTAAGTTAGGCTTTTGAATCACTCCATTTGACCATCTAATGAAGGAGATATATTAGTTTCAATATTTAGAAGTAGTGCAGATTTTTAAATACGAATTCAGTGGCAATTTTATAATTAATCTGAAAAAAAACTAGCAATCTAATTCTTAGTAAAATGACCATAAATTCTTCATACGATGTCGAAACTTGATGATTCCAGATGTTATGGTTCTAAAATTACGATACAGATATAATGGTTTTGTCGAAATACGAATCAAAGGCCGTTTGCTTAATATGGTAACCTTTATGCATAAATCGACGTCGAAACCAAAATCAATCATCATACAACCCAAACTTACCCGAAACTCATCAGAATTAAACAAAACTTTGTGGACATGCCCAAAATCATCATACAAACCTAGTGGAATAATAAAATCTGATTCCCAGTTCGTTTACCCAAAAGTCAAACTTTTGACAACTCTTTCAACTTAAATCTTCTAAAATGAGAATCATTCTTCCAAATCAATCCTGAACCGCTCGAAAACCGAAACCAACCATACATACAAGTCATAATACATAATATGAAGCTACTCAAAATATCAAACCGTCGAATGGAACACTAAAGCTCAAAATGATCTGTGAGATCGTTACACTACTGAGTGCGAGTGTGAGTGCCGAGAGTTGGAAAAAATGAGTGTTGTGAGGAATGAGTAACTGTGAGGATTGAGTGACTGGGAGAACTAGGTGCATTGATGCTCCGAGAGTATGCATATGATTTTTATTATGGTGTTGCATTACAGTTGGCATGTATAACTGACATGTAGAGATGGAGATATATCATTCCTCATTACAGTCATACTTGACATATTTTATCTTTTTTGAGGTTAAACCGTTGAACTAGAAATCATGTCTACATTTCTGTACAGTTATTTCTATATCTGGATTGTACCTGTTAAGCTTGTCACTTCTTTCAGTCCAAAGGTTAAGTTTGTTACTTATTGAGTAGATTGGTCGGTTATACTCATACTACAATCTGCACTTCATGTGCAGATCCAGGTACTTCCGGGTACGGTGGTTGCTGGCTTTGGAGCTTTTTATCAGTTCGAAGATCCTCGAGGTAGCTGCTTTGGCATCCGCAGTCCTTGACTCTCCTCCTTATTCAATTAGTTCTATTTGTACTGTTCTATTCTCCTAGATAGTGTTTCAGACTATGTTATTGTATAGATGCTCATGAACTCAGTGATACCCAAATTTCGTGGGATTGTGTAATGAGTCACGGTATTTTTCATATCAGATATTTTATGAGTTTTACTCTTAAGCTTAATTTATTATGTTTTCAAATTTAAAAATGTGTGGTTTATGATAAATGTCGGTTTGCCTAGTATTGCAATAGACGTCATCATGACACGTGAGATTTGGATCGTGACACAGTGCAATTAATTTTGGGAAAACCAAGATTTTAGAGAGCAGCAAAAAGAAAAACTTTGAATTGCTCTATTCCATTTCGATTTCAGATTGGCTTTCACGCCATAAATGGAATTCTACAATTATCAAAGAAAAACACTTTCAACGACAATGTCTTTTTAACCAATGTAATCAGAATAACACACATTCTATTTCAATTGTGCATTCGAACAACAGAACACGCAACCGGCTCTGATGCCATTGTTGAACAAAATTACGGAGCAAGAACAATAAAATGTGTGCACCTTGTTGCGCAGCGAAAATCGTTGTAATTGCTACCAAGAAATTGCTCCTAAATTTACTTTGAATCACTAGAAAATCAAGTTAATTTTTCACCAATTAAATGTCTTAATTTGTGTGTGTTTTTCGTATAGAAAAACGTAGTCAGAGAGAAAATTCCTACGCTTAAGAAGTTTTGTGTTTTCTCTTTAACATAAATGGGCAGAGTAATAACGGTTAAGGAAGATAACTCACCACTCCATTTTGCACGTTTACTTTAGTTGGATTGTGTTGTAACTTTTCTTAACCTCTCTTACTTATCTCTCCTAACTGGATCGGGTCAATCCACATGGAGCGACCCACGACCCATAATTCAACAGTTATCAAGTATTCTAAAAATAAATTTTTATTTTTACTTGTTACTTTTCGCATATCAAGAGAAAAATAATTTATATTTTTTGTTTTGCCCTTAGCATTAACTACTCATTTCAAATCATTTTCCAAATCCATTAAGACTATACATCAATTAATGTGAGTATCATGGTAAATTATGCACTTTATTTATTATTTCTTAAGGAGTGTACAAAGTCAATAGTGGACAAGTAAAAGTGAATGGAGGGAGTAATAATAAAATATAAAAATATGTTATCGACGGAAAACTCCGTCAAAACTCAATGCTATTTATTATTATTTTCAATTAATTAATACTTATTCTTACCGTAATTTATGTGAGAATAAGTTTTTAATCTACTATCATCCCAGAGACTATATTCTTTGCTCTATGCTCTATTTGTACAAGTGGAGAAACCCTTCCTTGCTTGACTCTCCAACAATATTATCGTATTCATGCCTAATTATCCAAAATTATATTATTTTTGAAGAATACGATATGACTGTTTTTTTTTTTTTTTTTTTTTGACTAACCCTCCATAGACGGAAATATTTCTTTGATACGCTAACCAAAGTTCAAGATTTGAAATTAAAAACTATTCCTAATTTGGAATGNTTTTTTTTTTTTTTTTTTTTGGAGAGTCCCGATAAACTGTTATTACTCACATAAAATGAAAGCAAAATATAAGTTGCCTTGCAGGAGATTCATAAGAAGATTGTTTCGTCTAATACATCATATCAAATCTTGATATATATTGTAATGTTGCAAGTACTAGACATTTTTCTTTGACTAACCCTCCATAGACGGAAATATTTCTTTGATACGCTAACCAAAGTTCAAGATTTGAAATTAAAAACTATTCCTAATTTGGAATGGCGTTATATTATATAATGTGGAAGATACTCTAAACTCAAAACACATTCTTCTATACAAGATGGCAAAGACTTTGTTGTCTCTATTTTTGGTAGTCGCCTTCTTTATCATTTCACAAGGTCAATCTCAAACTTTTTCAATCACTCAATCTCTCTCTCACACACACATGGTTGTTTTAGCATGAGAAGCACCTTTTAGTTGTCACATGTCCTTAATTTATGTACCTAAATCCTCCAAAATTTTATGTCTATGCTATACGCTAACGAGTTTTGTGATCTTCAGATGTGGTGACAGCACAATGTCAGTGCAAAGGAGATTGTAATAATACATGTGAATCTGGTCTTCCAACTTGTGTTGATGGGTTTTGTGTATGTTTAGCTCTCGAGACATATTCCACCATTCATAAAGGTATCTTTTTCCTTCCCTCGTGCTCACCCTATCTCTTTGTCTCTTAATCTTTCTCATATTCAGTCACTTATGGACATAATAAAGTTGTAACATTAGCATATTTTGATGATGGCACCTAATGCTTTCAATTTGCAAACCATGTATGTATAGGTATGAAATTAGAATATGTGTGTATACTTAGTTACACCGCAACTGAATCCACCAGCTTTTAATTTGGTTTGTTACACTTTTAGTTGTTATATGTCGGTTATATATGTAACTATGTCGTCCAAAAAATTATGACTATACTAGATGCTAACGAGTTTTGTAACTTTCAGATGTGGTGAAAGCAGAAGAGTGTGACTGTCAAAATAAAGCAGATTGTCGTCAGCCATGTGAATCTGGGCTTCCAACTTGTGTTGATGGGTTTTGTGTATGTTTAGCTCTCGAGACATATTCCACCATTCATAAAGGTTAAGGTGGCGGTCTTGGTGGCAAGTATGAACCTTGCAAGAGTTCTCGTAGTTATTAAAAATAAAGAATGCCTCATTGGCGGATGAGGTTTATATTTAATTTGATGATGTTTACTTAGAAAAAATAAATGACAATGAAATTGCATTACATGGTTGGATCATGACCAGAAAATCTTATTTATCTTCCATTTTAGATCTTATATGTTTTTTTTATGAATATTGTTACTATATTCTTTTGGAGGGGCCAACGTTTAGGGTGGGGAAAATTGAGAGTATGTAATTTGTTCCTCTAGAATGCAAGGTTGCAACTTTAACATTGAATTATCAGTCATTTATGTTTACTCGTAAAATGGTACAGTTGAATTTATGACGTAGTTTATAGACAAACGATTCGATTTAACCTTGTCCCCAAGTGGAACTTCCTCTGTAAGAACTTCTCAAACAATGTGACTTGTTCGAGTTCTTCTGCCCTGGATTAGTTGCGTTCGTTTCTTCGGGTACCTAGGAATATCTTAGTACCTGATAGGATTTCGACGGCTCCTCCTCTTCGTCGACTTCGTTTGATTCAGGAACGGGCGTCGGTTATTGTAATTGCTATGCCACATCTTCCTTCCCTTTACTACTGGAAATCGATATCGCGTTCATCTTCCTTGCCGCCGGTTGATCTCCTCTTATCTGTTTAATTCCCTCCGGGGTTGGGGATTTTAGGAGTTGATGATATGTTGACGACACATCCTTCATCTCGTGTAGCCATGGTTTGCCAAGAATAATGTTGTAGCCTATGTCACCGTCTACTACTTCAAATAAGGTACACTTCATGACCCCTTTAGCGTTTGTGGGAAGCAGGATCTCCCCTCGAGTTGTCACACTTGCTAAGTTGAACCCGGCAAGGAACTTTTTTATCGGAATGATGTTTCCGGTTAGCTTGGCTTGCTCTAAAACTCTCCATTGAATGATATTGGTTGAACTTCTTGGGTCAACCAAAATACGTTTAATTTTAATATCTAAAACATTAAGAGAAATTACCAGGGCATCGTTGTGCGCTAGTAGGAGTCCCTCGGCATTCTTTTCTGTGAAGGTGATATCGTCCTCGGTAACTTTCCGGAGCCTCTTGCTATGAGTCACCGATACCTTTATCTTTTTTGCTGCTGAAAAAGTTATACCATTAATATCGTTCCCTCCCCCCCCCCTCCCCAAAATCAAGTTGATCATTAGTGGAGGAGGATCTTCTCCTATCTTTGAGGGCTCTGCATTATCCCGGTTGCAGTAGTAGTTATTTTTTGCATGACCGCTTAAGAACTCTCTGAGATGGACGTTTTTCAGCAATGTCGCCACATATTCGCACAGATGTCAGTAGTCCCCAGTCCGATGGCCGTTAGTCCCATGATACTTACATCCTAAATTAGGATTCATCTGACTAGTATCGGATCTTATCGGCCTCGGGAACCGTGATTCCTTAATGTTCCTCATCGCCGATACTAGCTCCATCACGCTGACATTGAAATTATACTCAGACAGTATGGGGTAGGTGGAATCCCGATAGCGTGATATATCATTGTCATGCATTGATCTGTTATTCCAGCCACGGTCAGCTCTCTTATCGGTAGCGAACTTGTCCGCTGACCGGAAACCTCTGCCACGTCCTTCGGCCCTTTCGTAGGGCAAAACCCGGCCCTTTGATAATCGTCGATCTGTGTCGAGATTCCTTCGAATTCTCCTTGTTCTTTTCTCGATCCCTACCCTTGGTTGATGCTGGGAAACCGAGCTGGCCATCCTCTATTCTTATCTTTGATTCATAGTGATTTTGGATATTTGCCCATCTTGTTGCCTGGAAATCAAGCAGACCTTCTCTCAGTTTTCGAGAACCGTCAAAGCTCATCGGGTTCAGCCAACTTAGTAAATGCCTCAACTGCCCATTCATCTAGCACGGCCGGTAGCAGCATCCTTTTCTTTTGAAACCCGGTCATGAACTCTTGCAGCAATTCGGATTCTCCTTGAGCAATTCTGAATATGTCGGCCTTACGGGCCAGTACCATCCTGGCCCCGGCATTGGGCCTTGATGAAAGAATTCGCGAGTATTTCAAAGAAATCTATCGAGTGTTCGTGTAAAAGTGAATACCATGCCTGGGCCCCCTTTGTAAGGGTTACCCCGAACTTCTTCAGCAGGACTGACTCAATCTCGTGCGTAGCTAAGTCATTTGCTTTCACTGCCGTTGTGTAGGTGGTGATGTGCTCCTGGGGATCCGAAGTCCCATCGTATTTTGGTACGTCTAGCATTTTGAACCGCTTCGGTATTAGCTCCGTTGTCGCGCTCGGTTTGAATGGTAGTTGGGTGTAATTCTTCGAGTTCGGTGCTTTCAACACCGATAGTGCGCCCGAAATTTGGTTCGTTTGGGCAATTATTTCCCTCATAAACTGCATAAGCTCGATTTTAAAGGGATTAATTCTGTTATTATTACCAGATCCGCTGCCATTCCCCCCGGCCCCGTCGAAGCCGAACTCACTCCTCGGGGTGTTGTTGTCAAGCCTTTGCACTGTTTGATTTGCGAGAGCACCGGTAGGAACTGAACCTCTTTCAATCGCATTGTTGGAAGACCTCGACAACGCTTGCCTCAATTTTGTTATGGCCTGGTCTTGCCGTGAGAGGTGGCCTATGATAGACTTTTGTTGTTCTCTCAGAATTCTCATCGTTTTCACAACGTGCTCGTCTTCAGCGTCGTGAGGAGTTACCTCACATACGTGTCGTGGATATTTCCCGCCATGGTCCGGCGTGACTACATTACCCTCGTTGCGGTATTACTGATCGAATCTTCGTGTTTAGGCGGATTTTCTTGGGCCTCAACGTTGTGTGCGATGTTTACATCGTTATTTGCCATTTTTTATGATTGTTTGCTAAGAAACAAATAATCAAACATATTAGTAATAGATTCAAGGATCAACTCAATTACGCAACTGTCTAAGTCTCACTGTGGGCGCCAAACCGTTTACCCTTAAAACGGTACAATTAAATTTATAATGTGATTTATAGAAAAGCGAATCGATTTGATCCCAAAATGATAAAAAAAATAAAATAAAATTCAAGACTTATCGTTAAAATCGAGATAAGACAGCAAACAACTCGGTTCCGGGAGTAAAGCTTCCGAAGACAGCAATAGGAAAATCATGTGCAACATAAGTTTAGAATAATGTTCAACATAAGTTTGTTAGAAATTTTCTCCTCTTACAATGGATGTTGAAGTTGCTATTTATAGTTATTCTTAGGGAACAAGGTCGTAGGATCAAGCCCCTCTTAAATGACAATTATGGGTGCCATTGATGAATATATAACGGCATGCTATGAATGCCAAAATTCTTTGTAACGGATTGTGTATTTAATATTGAGGAATATTCTTCATTGAATGTCATCGGATGGCAAACATTCATTTGTCTTCGTTAGCAATATTCCTTTCGGGGTCGCCTATTTCACGTGTCACTCTATTATTCGAGTATTCAGTACTAACCGATTTTACTCTATACAATTTACATCTTCACAAGTTTATGATTTAACAAGATCTATTTAAATATTTTGTAATACCCGAAAATACAACTGAATTATAATTATTTAGTTTCGTGATTTCACATGTCAAAATATTCAAAAAAAGGTGTTCAAATTTACCTCTCTATTCTTCTTTAAGAAATCTTCACGGTATGCCCATTGTAAATGCCAGTTAACTCCATGTACCTTTGAAATTTTTATTTTACCTTGTATACCTACTATATGAAAGTTTATTACTTTTTAAACTTCTAATATCATTCTATGCTATTAAATAAATCTCACATTTTAAGAAACTAAATTATCTCTCACTCCAACTTAATAAATCTCTCAAAACACTCTATCATCCCACGTTTTAAGGAATTGGAATAAATCTCACATTTTAAGAAACTAAATTATTTTTCATCCCAACTTAATAAATTCCTTAAAACACTCCATCATCCGACGTTTTAAGGAATTGAAATTATACCTATTCACCAAAAAGTCCAAACCCGAGTAATTTATCTATGAAGTCCTTCATAATCTTTTTCTTCTCTTTCATCTATGTAATCAAAAGAATGGAAAATAACATTGTATACGCCTCTATAGATCTCTTTACTCACTATGACTTAACTATGAAAGTTACACTGCAAACCCATAAAGAAATTACATCGCATATCTTGATAGAGAATATTATGCGTGTAACAGCCACTATTAGTAAGGGAATAATATTCCTTAAATGTAGACTTAATTATTGAAACATGTACTCAATGAATTTTGAGATTCACATCTCTCCTAATTAAACTATATTCCTACTTTCCATCAGAACTTCATTTCTCATGATATCGTATACTCTATACCTTCAAATTTCCCCTTATATTCTAAACATATATAATATTCTAATTTGGAATACAATTCAAATCGAAATATCACAATATTCTAATGACAAGTATAATATCTAAACCAAGCATATCACATTATTATAATTTAGAATATATTATTCAAACTAAATATACAATAATATTTAAATTTATAATACATTATTCATATACTATAATATTCTAATTTGGAATACAAAATTCAAACTAAATATACAATAATATTCTAATTTGGGATACAGTATTCAAACCGAACATACTATAATATTCTAATTTGGTATATAATATTGAAATCAAATATATATTCTTCATTAAACTATTGTAATTTGGTATATCTAGTTTGAATATTGTATTCCAAATTAGAATATTGTGGTATATTTTATTTGAATACTATATTAAAAATTAGAATATTATCGTATGTTTGATTTGAATATTGTATTCCAAATTAGAATATTGTGGTATATTTTATTTGAATACTATATTAAAAATTAGAATATTATCGTATGTTTGATTTGAATATTGTATTCCAAATTAGAATATTGTAGTATGTTCGGTTTGAATATTGTATTCCAAATTATAATATTATAGTTGTTTGATTTGGATATTGTATTTTTCATTAGAATATTGTGGTGTATTGGTTTAAATAGCATATTCTAATATTTTATTTTAGTTTAGATATTGTATCCCAAATGCCAGTTAACTTCACATATCTTCGAAAATTTTATTTTACCTTGTATACCTACTTTATA